TTTTTTTTTTTTTTTTTTTTTTTTTTTACAGGCAACTTGAGAATTTTCAAAAACACGCGGAGCAGAATCAAAATATAAATCAAATCACGGATGAATATACGCAGCGTTTATCAGCATTAGAGAGAAAGTTTCAACAGGCGATAAGGGAGCGTGATCAATTGAGAAAAAATCTAGATCAATTGAAATTGGAAGCGGCTTCGCGTTTGTCATCGCAAGAAATGTCTAGCATAAACGCCGAGAAGGATGAAATTATAAAAGAGCTTCGTGAGGAGGGCGAAAAACTCAGCAAACAACAACTTCAACATAGTAACATCATTAAAAAATTGCGAGTAAAAGAGAAGGAGACTGACGCAACGATAAAAAGTCAAAAGTATTTCAGTTATCTATTTTTGTGTTGTTATTTTAATTGCATCACATATAAAGAAATGATAATTGAACTGATTACAATATAAGCTATTCATTCTTGATGATCGTTTTTGTTTCCAGAGAACAAATAGAGGAACAACATACAGAGCTAGAAAGATTAAAGCGATCGTTATATGCGAAAGAAGAAGTGGAACGTAGTCAGATAGAAGCAGTTCACACACTGACGGCAAAAACAAAAAAACAAGAGAAAGAAATATTGACACTACAGGAAAAACTAGATAATGCGTTACACAAAATGGAGGCTTATAAAAAAAGTTTGGATGCCGCAAAAGTGTGAGTATATGCACAGGCATTTGTAAATTTTAGTAGAATTTTAAGTAACAAAACCATTTTTATATATTTTTCATTTTTAACAGAGACTTAGCAGAGACAAAGAAAAAATTGATAGCCACAGAAGAAGAATTGAAAGAAGCTGTGGATAATGCAGGAGAATCGTGCCAGTTGTTTGCCCAACTAGAGGATTTAAAACTGAAATATCGTCAAGCCGAGGAAGCTCATGTCAAGTAAATATATTTAATTTATCAAAAATATTAATTAATTATTTTTATTGCAACTAATATTATTTATATTTAGGAGGGAGGAGTTTCTCAAACACGAAAATAACGAGTTGCTCAAACGATTGGAAGCCGCAGAAGCCAGAAGTGAAGAATTATCCGAATCCGTTTCGGTTGCAACAAAACCTCTGTTAAGGCAACTGGAACAGCTCCAAGCAAATTTGTTACATAAATCTAACAGCTATATGAAGCAAGAGAAAGTTTTGTCGGAAAAAATTATAGAATTGCAGTCTAAAATCGAGAATCTCGTCGAGACGGATCGTCTTCTGAAAGAAGAGAATTTCAATTTAAAATCCAAAGAGTCGCACTTAGAATCGAAGCTCAATTTAAAGGAAAAAGAAAAGACAGGATTACAGGAATCATACAATAATTTAAAGGAGAAAAATGAAAGATTGCTGGAACAAACTAAGCAGTAAGTATCTTTGATTTTTTTTCTTTAAGGATAAACGCAAATAATCAAAATGTCATTAAATTTATATCACGTTCAAATTGTAGACATCAAGAAACAATAAAGACCCTTGAGCAGACGCATTCCGATTACGTGCAGGAACTGAAGAGAGAGATAAATGCGTTAGAGAATAAGTTAGCCGTGGAGAAAGCAGCGACCGACGCGGAAAGAAGAAGAAATAACGCATTACTAGAGCAGCAGCAAAACACCGATGATGAATCGCGATTTAGTCCTACTCTAAGTATTGGACAAGAATCCGTCAGCAGTGTAAACAGCGTCTGGCCAAGTGTATGCATATATTTATTATTGTAAAATCGTTATTAGATTATCATTTAATTCATATATAATGCAAAGTTTTCTTTCAGTTTAGCGATTCAGTGTTCGATAATAATTCCGGAAGATTTCCTCCAATCTCGTATGAAAATATCAGAGCAGGTTCGAGCAGTACGTCGATCTTCGAAAATCTGCAGGCGCAACTAAAACAAAGAGATGGTAAACACGTGTTGTATATATTTGTTAGTGTAATTTTGTATAATTTTTATTATTCAATATTACTAATAAATAACGTGCACTTTTTTATTTTGTTATCACAGGCGAGATACAACAACTTCAATGGGAGTTGTCTCGGCGGAATGCCGAGAGGGACGCACTGAACTCGGAAGTAGCGACGTTAACTCTGAAAGTTGAGGATTTGAGCAGTAAGGTGACGGAAGCACAAGCGCTTAATGAAAGCCTCGCTGAAACACAGACGCGATATGATGCTTTATTGCAAATGTACGGCGAAAAAGAGGAAGAGAATCAAGAATTGCGATTGGACCTTGAAGATATTAAGGAGATGTACAAAATGCAGATTGATCAATTATTAAAGAGACAAAATTAACTATGACTTACGTGATGTGAAATGTTCAGGAACACAGACTGTTTGACGTGAAGCCTATATAATTCTCGGTGAAAAAATTCGATTACTATTACATAATGTAAACTTTATCTTGTTCTATCACTAATTTTTGTCTACTCCTATCAAAATTCGGCACACATACAACAGTTTTATATAGTGAACGATTTTAGTGACTCAAAGAGAAAAAACTGAAAAAAATGTATTTCTAATGTATTTCTAGAATGAATATAACGCGAAAATTTGTGATAAAGAGATTTTTAATCCCAATAAGATTTAAAATAATGTTTTAATTATTGAATTATGTGAAGCTTATAATTTATTTTTTAGTGGGAAAAGTATGATATATAGAGTATGATTTATAATATATATATATATATATATATATGTATCGAATTGTGGCAACTTGTAATACATGAAATGTATGCAAGAGTTATTTTTTCCTTTTCACACACATCTATTTGTGTATAACTGTTGTGTTGTTCACATATTATGAATTTACTATAACATCAGGGAGGATCATGTGATAATGGATTGTATTATAATGTTTAAATTTTAAACATGTAACACACATATGTATAATATAAATTGACAATGTACTTTATGGTACATATAAAATATAATATGAGACATTAATGGAAATTTGTTTTTTTTTTTTATAATAATAAAATTAGTTATAATAATAAAAATAGTTTAGAGCTTATAAAAAATATACATCTATATATTTTATATGTAAAAAGATTGCTAAATATTTACAATACATGTATGTATATATGTACGTATATACACATATGTACAACAGTGATTGTCTATTCGTCTATTGCATATTCTACGTTTTCATTGGTTATATTTAGATATTGGGGTTAAGTAGGGAGATGCACTATCCGTGATTACACGTATATTTTAAGTGTGTAAACTTTTGATAAAATCACTCGCGGCTCCAAATTTTTCTAGTGCTGAACCGTCAATTTTGTCAGATTTTTTGTTCGAATTTTGGAATTTTCTAATCTGTGAGTATATGGTAGAAAATAACCAAAAATAATATAAGTGCGTTATTATATATTTTCTTGATTTCTGTTTTTACACACGTTGATTATTTACATGATTTACAAAAATACTTGAATCTTAAAAATATTCAGCTGCTGTAATTACAGTTGTCACATGTACGTAACAATAAATATTTGAATCTGTGCGTTTATCGAGTTTATAGGTTATACCTACACATAAAAAATAACATTGAAGAAATATCTTTTTCTTTCCAAGGCAAAGATTTGTGTTTAATGTAATATTTAAATTTGCTGCTACAAGTATTCAAGATGGGAGATCAAGTTATAAAACAAGTTATAAAAGGAACATCATTAAAAAGTTTTCCTCTACAAGAGAAAAGGATGATTTTGCCAGATGTAATACTGCATACCAGAAATGTAATGATACCTATCACAAGACCTGTACCTGTACCTTTGAAGCAAACGTTCGATGTTTCTTGGTCAGAGAATAAACCTCGGATTGTGAGGATGCAGTACTATAAAAATAATCCTGCATTAATATTCTCAGAAACACCGTCACATACATTGTACAATCGTATGGAAAATTTATTTGAGGTCATTCAAAATATTTCTGTTTTCCAAAAAAAAAAGTATGTTATATTTTATAGATGTATCCAAACAATCTTCTATCTAAAATTATCTTGAACTATAGGTAAAAAGAATCAACCATTGGAAATCGAAAAATCAAAACAAAAAATATACTATTTCTGGAAAGACAAACTCTCTATGTATAAGTAAACAACCTAGTATATTACAACATTTCTGTCCGTCAAGAAGATTTTCTTGCAACAGAAAGGATAACACGTTACGCTTCCCTAATACAATGCTTGTAAATTACGAAACAAATAACAAATATTTGCACAAAGCAAGCTCAAAATCCATAAAATTAACTAGAAAATGCGATGCGTTGCAAATAAAAGAGAATGAAAAATTATATGAAAACAAACTTGTGACCATGCCAAAAAAAACACTTAATAATAACATAAATAAACCAGTTGTATTATTAACGAGTGAGTCATCTCACAATATTAGTGATTCCGATTTTACATTATCAACACTGTCAGTGTCGAATTTCCAGATAGAAAATAAAAAATTATTTGCAAATATTGGAAACAGAAGGAATTCAATGTCTAGAATAATGTCGAACCATTTGCACCCCAGTAACAGCGAATATGAAATAAATGTTTTGCATTACGAAAATGATATTCCTTCTGATAACTTATGCAACACAAACAAATCTGTACCGGACTTTAAATATTCATGGAAACTAGATAGATGGATGTCATATTCTCAAAAACAAAAACATGACAACATATGTGGGATAAAAGATGTTGAGTTGTATAAGAGAAAGCCTTATTATGACTGTAAAATAAAATATTCGTGGCAAGTTATTGGAACGAGCGCACAGACATCGCACAGTTTGTTACAGAATTTAAATCTAAATCTTAACACAGAAGATAAGGCATATAAAACGTGCGGTATAAAATATTCCTGGCAAATTGTAGGCATCAGCACTCAAGCGAGTCTGCACGATCATCATAAAGATTCCGATTATTGGGAGGGTATGGTGTTGACACCAAATAAAAATTATAATAAAAATAAAATTGCACAAAATGACAATAATGGAACAGATTATAACCAAGTGCAAAGTTATGTAAAATATCCTGAAGAACAATTGAAAAAATACTTGATATTAAACAATCAACAAACTCAAACTTTTACCGAGAAAACAATTCAAACTGATATCAATGATATTAACGATCATTGTGTTATAAAATATTCTTGGCACAATTTAATTAAACAATATCTATAATTAAAACACAAAAGTGGATGGTGCAATTTGCGAATTGTTAATATTCATCATATGTATATATGAATGACTTGTATCAATATTGCGATTATTTGAATAATATAATACTTTTTCAGATGGATCAAATTTTAGAAACATTGGCCAATCAAAATCTATCAGATACGTTGGAAACAGAGCGGATCGACAACCGCGATGAGTTATTAGAAAAATATATCATAAAACCGTTAACGCCAATTATTTCTGATAAAAATTTTACGTTATATAACGGTAATGAAAAGACAAAGAGAAAAGAACTTCTTGCAAGATTATCGTACACAGTAAATAAATTGAATCATGATGAGCGAAATACCGATAAAAATTGGTGCACGGATGAAGTATCATGTTTGGATGCTGAGGATAATTTCACATCGAAGACAAAAGTATTGCCAGAAAATGTAAAAGAGAATATCAATAGTATTATACAATCTGCACAGGATTATGTAACAAAATTAAATTATCAATTGAAAGACCTCGATAATGCCGATCAAGAGGTACGTTCAGCTTTGTTTAGTTTTTGTTATTTATTGCATTTCATTACACACACACATATAATTGCCGCTTGGTTTTACATAGAAACATGTGTATGTAATATTAATACGAGAAAATTTTTTGTCAGATAGAAAATAACATGATGAAAACATTGAAAGATGTAGACGGAACGTTTCAATCTTTGTTGGACGACGTGTGCCACGAGATTAACAAGCGGCGCGAACAGTTGATACTGGAAGCAGAAATTTACAAGAGTGAAAATTTAATACCGTTAAGAGCTTGCAGAAGAGAATTAGAGGCGCAAATACAAAATGCACGAAGTATCATATCAACGAGCAAGAATCTGCTACGAAATCCAGATCAATATAACTCAAACAAATTCGGCAAGATAATTGCTTTGAGTAACGATATCGGAAGGTAAGTTAATTTCGCGATCGCGATAAATAATGAGATTATTAACATATTATAATCTCATGTGTAAATTATTTTTCAGAATACCAGCAGTACCGTATTCCGAGGAGCTTTCAAATATAAATTTCGATCGTCCATCGAACTCGCACAAGGAAGAGATAATCGAGCAAATATCGAGGCTCGGTTACATCTCCCGTACTGTGCCTGTTCAAATAATGAACATCGAAGAAAGACCAGGAGGTTTATTCGTTAAATGGCACGTGACTAATCCGGAATACACGGTCGAAGAACAGACGTTCATCGTGGAGATGGCCTACGGAGAGATTCTCGATTCGGCGTCGAACGAATTCAAGACCGTGTATAGGGGATCCGAAACGTTTTGCTTTCTCAGAAATATATGCGTTAATCAACCGGTCACACTCAGAGTCAGAATACAAATGGACAATGTTGCGACAAGTGTGCATCACGTGGCGAGGACTTGTATACCACCATATAGTATGCATATACAAAAAAGCACATATAACTTAAGATATTTATTCTAACTTGACAATGATAAAAAATATCAATTTACATTATTGTCACAGGCTGGGAACTCGATAATACAGATTATGTGATAACCAACGATGGCAAAATTGCTGCAAAACTTACAAATGCTTTAAGCACATTATTTTCACACGGTGCTCAGTTTGAAGCAAATCATATAATTGAATTCAAGGTAATTTTTAATTTATACGCAAATCATAATTTAATTATAATTTTATTATTTTTCCTTCTAATGTCTTATTGTTTTAATTAATTCTTTAAGTAATTGAGTTTTTAATGTTTTAATCTTTTTATGGTACAGTTTCTAGAGGTTTCGCAAGAAGGAAGTGACGATGAAGGCATCGCGTTAGTTTATGATCCACAGGGTAATCAAGATGCTTTAAAAAGACCGGCATCATTGATGATCACATCTCAGGGCAAAATCTTCATGGATGGTGAAGAGAAATTGATGCAACTCTCAAAAATGCGTTTCGGCACCGACATTGTAATCTCTGCTTTTAGAAAAAATGCTCATATGTTGCGAGTAAATATCGAATCTGAAAACAAATGTGTCACATACGACTGGCGTGTACAAACGCCTCTGTATTTTGCCGCCCGATTTAAAGAGTGCAATAAGTGGAATTTATTGATAAAATAACGCGCGAGTAATGTAACTCAGTGTTATTATAAAAAAATTTATACAATGTAATTTTGTAACAATAAAAAAGAAAGTGCCTTATGTGCAAGAAAATGTTACTATTGAAATATAATAAGACTTAGGTTCTGGAACAAAAGCCTGAATCCCCTTGCAGAATGCGAGAGAATAGTGATAGCGATAAGCAATAGACACAGAATTCTAAGGCCTGGTTTATTTGCGGGCAATAACTGTTAACTTATGCCGGAACCGGTAGAGTTTAACTATAGGATTTCAATGCTTCTGTTTATACAAAATTGCCGAATGCGTATAAACAGAAGTATTGGAATCCTATAGTTAAACTCTACCGGTTCCGGCATACGTTAACAGTTATTGCCCGTATAAACCAGGCCAAAGCCGCTAGCAATATTTTTTCGTTTTTACACGTATCGTAACGGTGGTTTTTTGTGAGATTTTTTCAAACTCTTGTTTTTGGCTGCGTTCCGAGTTACGCATTTATCTATAGTACACGTTACGTATAATATAAATAAATGCGCGCATATGCGTAACTCGGAACACAGCCTTTATAAACATATAAAGGTATCTTTTCACGCTGACGCTCGACATCGACTACGTTTACACGTACTGGTAAAACCGTTTTAGTACAAAACCGGACTTAGATGTCCGTTTACAGGACACCTAACGGCCGATTTCTTCATACATCTCGATAGCTATCCTCTGGATAAATTCCTCTGAAAACCAATAAGGAGAACCAGTTGTGGGAGATATCTTCTAGATAAAGTTATCGAAAACTTATCTAGAAGTGAAAAAATTGGTTGTAAAACGGTTTTAATAACATCAGTATAAGGAACGTTTACAGGACATCTAAGTCCGGTTTTGTACTAAAGACATCTAAAACGGTTTTTATTAAAACGGTTTTACCAGTACGTGTAAACGTAGTCACTGATGTTATGAAAACCGTTTTAGTAAAGTCAAACCTCTTCTGAAAGAGGTTTGGCGTTATTAAACCGTTTTAAGAAAGACGTGTAAACGGTCTTCAATGGTTTTAACGTATCAAAATGCGATATTACCAACTTTCGATATTTGTAAGAAAGTACAAAGGATATAAAATCTGACGAACTATCGATCTCATACAGCATCGCTTCAAAATAGATTATTCTGTAAAAAACGAGATCAATGGGAAAATGAAGAAACATGATTTTTCTTAAATTTAATGAGAGCGAAAAATGATGAAATGTTTGGATGAAAAAAAATTTTGAAGGAACGAAATATTCAAATTGCTGGAAAAGCCCATGCACGAAAAAGGATATATGAAAACAGATGCAAACAAAATATATTCCAAACAAGTTGTTAATAATTTTTTTTTTTTCTAGTTCTGTAAATTTCACAATCGCAAAACGTAACTTCTTCTATCTGTTACCAGTTACGGAATGTTCTACAACAAACAGTTTCAAGCGCCAAAACTTATGTTGGCAATGGATTTTGTTCAAGTTTAATAAAGTTACTTTAAACTTGGTGAGGATAAAATACGTCTGATCGTGTAAACAGGCACCATAGAACAGGATTTGCTATACCGGTTTTTGCTAAAACGTTTTTACCAGTGCGTGTAAACGTAGTCAAAGCAAAGAGAAGCCTGAGGGCGATGTCCCATTGAGCGAAAATCTATAGCGGAACGGAATGTGCGGAACCAGCTCGACCAATCATAGCCATTCCGTTTTCTTTCCTTCGCTTTTTCTGTGGTTACGATTGGTCGAGCTGGTTCCGCACATTCCGTTCCGCTATAGATTTCCGCTCAATGGGACGTCGCCCTTACGGTGCAGACAATATAGTAGCCTCTCTCTCCAGCTGCTTTGTGCGCATGCGGTGAACATTCAAGTACGCTTGCGCATTTTTCTTTCTCGGGTTCTTTCTCTCACTTTCCAATGCTTTGTCTCGCTCGCACTCACTTGGTAGATGCGCCTGCGCATAATGACGCTCGACCATCTATGCCCATATTTGGATTTCGTGCGTCTCCCTTTCTCGGGCCTCGTGCCTCTCATTGCGAAGATACGCGACTAGCAATATAGGAGTATTACATATATGTAATATACACACGGTCTCAGACTGGCTTTTGCTCCTCTCGCGCAGGGGCGTGCGCCATATAAGCAAAGAAGAAGAAGAAGTTTACTGTTTCACACCACCTAACCTACCATTACCCCTTAATCTCTTTCACTCTTCTTCACCCCCACTACTTTTCTATCCCCACTTTTCCACTACTATTCTATCAATCAGCGAAGACTTCTTTTTCCTCCACTACTTCGCTAGACAAAGATGAGGTTACTCTTCAACACCAGCTGTCTCTCTCAACGTTGAAGACATTTTCTTAACATGGCAAAGGTAGGGAACGCGCAGTCTATATATTATACGTCTATGACTATAACAAGTATTCCACTAAGCGACCGGCCCAGTGGTCTCGCGGCCTGAGTGCAGGGGCTGCGAACCTGGAGGACCCGAGTTCGAATCCGCTCACCACTTAAGGATTTTTTCCGGGCCGGTCCCTTTCAACCGAGTTTATCGGTTGATTGGCGAACTGAATCGGGCCTCCAAAAATTAATTCGAGTGTAATCCCGAATTAATTTCCCTCCCACAAGGCGATCGTAGTCATACCATCTTGAGCA